TTTTCTCATCAGATTGTGCTTGTCATTCCCTCCAGATCTGATGGGATTCTGGGCGTTTAGATCCCTCAAAGCTTCCTCTTGGCTCTGCTAGTCCATGCGAGCTTCTTACTTTTTGCTCCAGGAGAATCCTCAAGCAGAATAAACTTGTTAATTATAAAAACTGGGAAAAAACAATAAGAAGAGTCAGAGAATGAGGGTGAAAGCAATTGTTGAGCTTACATCGTCCATTGCTGTTGCCAGCTTGTTTGGCTTGGTCAAAGGTTGAATTTGTCTTTATCCATTGGATTTCTGGAGATATCAGTGTTTTGCTGGTGGGCCTTCTGGAGTGCTTTCCTTTCATTGGTAACTTGGCAATCACGTCATTTGAGGAATGCTAATTCCTCTGTGAGTTTTTCACACCTGAAAATTGTTGAAAGGCAGCATTTGAATGTCATCCATATATATTAAAAATGAATGTCATGTATTTAAGTTTCGACTTATGAACTGAACTTGTCTGTTTCACGTGGCATTTTCTCTTTCTCACATTTAAGCCGCAAGGTGATCTCGCAGTCATCATGTCTCTTCAGCTCAGAGATTCATCTCCAGCTTCCTTCTTCTTGGCAGTCAGCTCAGCATTGATTTCCTCTTCACCGTCCAGTCTTCAGTTGTTTTTCTTTGATGTGTTGGCCTGAGCTGGATTTTGCTCTACTGCATGCCTTCAGACTTTCTAGATCTGATTAGGTTCTCACTGTCCTATAGTGTTATTTAACATATAGAAACTAGGATAATTATGTTGTTATTTTATGCTTGAAGGTCTTTTTATTATGTTGGTGTTTGCTAATTATTCATTTAGTTAATGTGAACATTTTTCAAGTTGTAAATATAGATAAAAGCCAACAGATAAAAGCGATGTAACATGTAATATGTGGTCTAGGTATAATCCACGGGTGTGATTTCATGGATTATGATTATTGATTAAATTAAATAAATAATGCATTTGATTACACTAAATTATTAGTGATCCAAGAAACTACTATGTGTGTTATATTAATATGTGTATTCACGAAGCCAACTTGGCAGTGCAGTGTCATTCTTCTCTCCTGTCAGCGAGGTGAAACATCTTCTCTCCAATTCCTTTTTCTTGGCAGGCAGTAAGCCGAGGTCTGTTGATCTTCTCATAATTCTCCTTCATCTTTGGAGCTCTTCTCAGTCTCAGCCCTTTCAAAAGAGGCCTTTGATCTTGAAGTCAGGTTTCATTCAGTGGGCCAATTTTTTTCACATTCATGAAATTGAACGGATATTTGTACTGGTGCTGAGATGGATTCCCTGGAAAAAATATCACGATATTGTGCAATTACTTCTGTCATTGGATTTCTATTGCAAATGCTAGAGCCTTACCTATTTAAGAAAAATATTTGTTATTATCGGACAGTACGTCAGGTATTATTTGAAAATCCTATCTCTCCATCATCTTAACAACTCCTTCTCATGAGGTATCCTTCTGCAGAAGCCTGCTAGTCATGTTACAAATGTTTAGTCAGTTTTGTCATCTCTCATCTCTCCAGGGCACCCAGCAGACAGCTTTTGAAGAACAGCTATGGTGTCAGAATAAGTGTATTCAGTCATAATAATTTATTTATTGGATTCAAAAAGGGGGAAATGATCATAAGTAAAAAGTCTTGTGAACATTTCTCGAAGAATACCATGTGTGTGCAACTTGTACTGAGTTGGTGCCAGCATCACATGGGCCAGAGCTTTTCTTACGCTTTCTGTTGTCAATGACTGTCCCTCAGGACTGCATCACTGGCAGTGAATATTTTGTATCTACAATGACAAATGATATTGCTTACTTGTATTTTTCTTTTCATATCTTACTTGTGTTTACCACTCACAAGCGTCATCTGAAATCAGCGCTGACTTTCATATAATGAAAAGTGTAGCCCTTGCTTGAAGTCACATATGAGGATTAGTTGGGGAAGCTTTCTGCAGATTCTGATGCTTCGCAACACCGTTACACCTAGTTTGGTGATGACAATGAGTTCTCCAAAGAACTGAGAGTAAAGTAATAATTTAAAATATTTCTTTAGTAACAACAGTGTAACATAAAATGAAAGAGGTCCTTGGCTTTCTACCTGGGGTCTTGGTTTCATTGGGAATCAGGCAACTGCACAAAGTTAGGATGAGTAGCTCTTGCTACAGTGGTCATCAGCTTGCCAAGTTCTCCTGTGATCCAATTATAAGATAATGGTCAAACATGATATTAATGATGAGGTTTTTTAACGTTATAATGTTTTGTGAAACAATACCTACTGAAAGGAGCTAGATACAGTCTGGAAGGAGCACTCTCTTAGACTTGCTTGCTGGCTGCTCACAGGCGTCTGCATTGGTAAAAACATTCAATTATTTATTTCATGAAAACTGATTAATAGACTGACGAGTTCTTATGCTCGTCATAATTGTTTAACGTTTTAAATCAATTTTTTAAATTTATGACTGCAACGTGCTGGCACTTTGTGCAGTAATATTTTTTTATAACTGGAAATATGATTAAAATTAAAGCTTACACAAGATCTACTTCATCTTCATCCTTATATTAATACCATTAATAAGATACATAAAGATAGAGCTTTGAAATTTCGAAGTTGAAAGGTATTGGGCATCATTTCTACATTCAGTTTGATTGCAGTATCATACCAGTAGTTTCGGAGATGATTATGCAGAATTATATCAGAATATTAGCGCTTATGATCGTCTCTGCTCACTCTTATTTCTTACGGTCAGCGCCACCATGAGCTGCATAAAGGAAGGCCAGGAGTTTTGTTGAAGACTTCTGGTTGATGAATATGTGAACAACTGAGTCGTAGGGGTTCTTGTTTTGTCCAGCCAGCCATGATATTGTATCGCACTGTACGCAGATAGTCGTCATTCATAGGGAGAAGTGACCTCAAGCTTGCCCTTATGCAGGTTTTGGTCTCAAAGGCTTGGTCTTGCCAGACTGCTTGATCATTCTAGCTTGTTCTTGAAAGTGTGTCGAGCCTTGGGAAACTGCACTCCTTTCAAGGATGGAAAGATGCCATTGGATGAGAAGAATTCCATTTCATATTGAAATTAATACTCGTGGTAAGGCTACCATTTGCCATGATAAAAATATAATGTTATACCAATGGCACTTACCTTCTAATATGAGCTCAATCAGGCAGAAGTATCCATAGTATGAATACACTCTTAATGACTTCTTTCTGTTCCTCTTGCCCAAGACAACATGTGGTGTTGAAAAACTGTTGCAGTTTATCATCGGTGAAGTTGATGCAGAGTTGCCAAGTGTTTGAACTGTAATTAAGATTGATTGTTTTTAATTTATGGCAAGATTGTGGCAGAACTTCAATTGTCTGATATTTTTCAACTGCTCACATCAAATGATCTCAATCAGCGATATCAACACCAATTGATACTGTTTGGCTGTTTGTGTCCAGCATCGTCATTGATAGGATGACCATTCTCACAAAACATTTTCATATAGATAGACTTCGCACGAGCGTAACTGGAATGGTTGCCCTAAAAACATGGCAACATTTTGAAAACCTGCTTGGATTTCTAACTAGTCTTTGAATATTTGTAGATGTTACATTTATCTTTTTTGTTACCTGTGGAACGGTCTGACCTTTGGTCACCATCTCATTTCCGACCTTGACTCTTGGGTAGCACAGGGCTTTCAGCATATCAGCTGAGTTCAGGCCCAAGAGGTAAGCGATTTTATCAGCCTCTAATGGAAAGGTGGACAAGAGTGCTAAGTACACATGGACTTGAATAGTATTTTCAGATCAGAAAACTTACATGAGTGTGGTATTATTTCGATTATTACCCTCATTGCCATCAGGTTCAGCCTGCTCCTCACGCTGCTTCTGCTTGAATTTCATGTTGCCATGATGCATCACAGCACCAGTGAGCTTGTAGATACCCAATTTCTCCTCAGCAGTGAAACCCAAGATGTCAATGGCAGTCTGCAGTGGAAATGAAGTAAAGTTATCAGTAATTGCAACATTTCCCTCATTATACTCTTTATTTAACTAATTTGTCGACTTACATCTGTTGCAATGAACTCCTCCACATCATCAATGCTTTTGACCGTGATTTCACCCTGACTGATCATATGATAGTCATAGGGGTTGGTGCTGATCAGAAGAGCCTCTAGAAGGGCGAACACAAAATTCATGAGATTTTCTTTTGATACTGTTTGTAGTTTTGTCAGAATTTTAAGTCCAAGACATCTTTTAACATACCCAGAAGCTCAGGCTTGTGGCCTGTCATCAGCTGATAGAAGATATGGTAGCTCCTCTCAGCAGACAACTGGAAGGTGACACGAGACTTCTCCAGCAGATCTAAGAGTAGCAAATTCAATTGGATAATATGTGATTACTTCTTATAATATAGTGGTTTTAGTTCATCAAAGACCACATGTTAGTTCACAGGAATCTTGACTTACACCTTCGTTGGAACTTACATGTTTCAATATCAGCTGAAGACAGCTTTCCAGCAGAACCAAAGTGGATTCTGATAAATTTACCCTAGAGAGACAGATTTTTGATAACATTAATTTTGTATAGTTTAGCAAGAAAAGAAAAATATATTTCCTGTATTACTTACAAAACGAGAGGAGTTGTCATTCCTCACAGTCTTGGCATTACCATAGGCCTCCAGCAGAGGGTTGGCTGCAACAATTTGGTCCTCAAGGGAGCCCTGCAGGAGAAGATTAGAGTTACATGAGCTGTACATCCAAAATAACTTTTCTCTGTCAAAACCGTTAATGTTAAACAACCAATTTTACCTGCATCTTGCCAGGGGTTGCCTCAGCCTTCTTCGCTCCAAGAGCTGCAATTGTTGCAAAATACTGGATGACACGCTTGGTGTTGACAGTCTTTCCTGCACCGGATTCTCCACTGAGGTAGAAGGGGCACATTATCAAGATTGTGTTTCTTTATCATAAGATTTATAAAGATTTAACACAACATTTTGTGCTATACTCACGTAATCAGGATAGACTGGTTCTCACGATCTGAAATACAAACATGCATACTTCACATGAGTTCCTTTTTCCTTGTTTTCCTTCAGAAAGGTTTTGCTTAAGTTGAATTCCATTTCTCTATACATACACACTTAAAAATTTTTAACTTTGCGCTTACCAGTGAGCATGGACTGATAGGCATTGTCAGAGATGGAGAAGATGTGGGGTGGTGCCTCAATCCTCTTCTTGCCTCTGTATGCACCCACAACGACAGCATCATATACCGGAAGCCACTTGTAGGGATTCACAACAACACAGAACAACCCAGAGTAGGTCTGTAAAAGTAGAGAGTATAAATAGTGTTAGGTAAACATATACATAAAGTGTAGTGTAAGTAAGTAGGTACGTAATTAAAGTTTATTTATTGGCTAGCACTATTCACAGATACAAAATGCTTTAATGAATCAAAATGTACAAAAGTTCCAAACACAGACAGGGAAACAGGCCATAAAAACCAATGGAATAAAATGGAGCAGCTGCTCAGACAAGCTAACCAAAAGCCTGTCTGAACAAAAATGTTTTTAGCTGCTTTAAAAAGATGTCCCATGAGTTTAGTGATCGCAAAGAAAAAGGGAGAGCATTGCATAAACTGTGTGAAACAACTTGAAATATGTATTATAGTGGAAACTCACATAGATCATCCATGATGCATAACGATCTTTGAGGTTATACAACACGCAAGGCTCATTGAGGTGGGTCATCATGGCCATGTCCTCAATTTTGTCAAACTTTGGAGGGTTCCTTTGATGGATGTCATCCTCTTTTACAGTGACAGTCTGAAAAGGGAATACAGCAAAACATAATGAAACTGATGTCACTGTAGTTCACAGTGTCAGTTTGAATTTAAAACACACAATGAATTAATCCTTCAGTAAATGCTTTGCTAAGCTTCCANGGAGGGTTCCTTTGATGGATGTCATCCTCTTTTACAGTGAGAGTCTGAAAAGGGAATACAGCAGAACATTTTTACTGAAAAATATTTTTTTAATCAACAAGTTGATGGAACGGATGGCATTTAAGTTCACAGTGACAGTTCGAATTTAAAATACACAATTATAAATGAATCCTTCAGTAAATGCTTTACTCAAATACCTTTTCAATTAAATGTTCATTATTGAAACAGATTGCAATGTTTTTATTAAAAAAGTAAAATTTTCAATTCCATTTGCATAATTAGTGCATAATTGTATAATTAATCACCTACCTTTCCTGTATCTGTCTCAACTGTGGCTTTGCCACCCTCTTTCTTCACAAGTTTACCCTTGAGGTACATCTCATCAGCATCAGCCACAAAGTAGGCTGTTTTGGCATCAAAAGGTGTGGTTTGTGCCTCAATCCTCTCTCTCTCTGTTTTCCGGAGGTAGATGGCCGCCGGGCCATATTGCTCCATTTCCGCATCTGTGCTCATGGTGGCACTTTAGTCGAGACTGAAAAAATGAGAGTCCACAATAGTTAACATATCAACATGGAATTTCTTTGGTGCATTTTCCATCTGATATTGGCAATTTCATGTGTTTTTTATGGTGACATCTCCTACCTCAGCTCGTTTCAAAAAAGACTGAGTGGTGTAGTCTCTGGAGGAGTCTCAAGATGCTATGAAAAGATAATCAAACATGAGCACTTAAAGTTTAGTTGGATTTTCATTTAAATTTAGTTGTGGAAATTCAGTCCATTTAAGAACATCAGAGGGTGAAAAAGTTTTCAAACCTAATAAACGCTCTGTCCATTCAGTTTAAAGTTCAATACTCTCCCATCCCTTCAATTGCCCTTCACAACCAGAGACATACTGTTGTATTAGTCTTGATCACAAGACGTGAACTGGGTGTCAAAACAAAACTAATTAATTGTGTTATTTTTTCTTCTTGGAAGAAGTTATTTTCTTGAATTTTTAGGAGTATATTAAGAAAATTGCTTTAAAATCATTTTTTCCCATCCAAGACTGCTTTGATATGCCATAAAATATAACCATCATCTGAAACCTATACTTGAAAGATAACTCAATATGCATAAGTAATTAGCAACACAATTACTTTACCAGCTAATCAAAAGCATTGCAAACTGAGGTTACAGAGCATACACTCACCTGCGTTGGATGCCTATCAGTTCATGCTTGTCCATTGCTGCCTCATTTATAGAGGCCGGCAGTGCCTGGTCAGCAGTAGTCTCTCTCTCATTTTGGTCATGGCCTCTTTTCATCCTGTAGCTTATTTAGTGGCAGGGATGTTTAAGGAAGTGATATGCATAATTCTTTGTTACTAAGAAAACACAGAAATTACAGTTTACATCATGATGTTATACCAATTGATTTGATTTGATTTGATTTGATTTGATTTGATTTGATTTGATTTGATTTGTTAACTTTGATGTTAACTTTGATATGACCAACACAATGTAGGTGTTAAAATCTAAAATATGAATTAATGCTTGCACCAGTTATGTTAACATTGAGTAAACTGTGTTCCTACTGTAACAAAAGAAGAATTAAAACTACAAATTATGTTATACTTGATTTACACGACATCAAAGTTGAAAGCTGTTGTGAACATTAACAGTCTTTTTTTAAATTTCATGAGTAGCTTGGTCTTGGTAAGTCTTCCAAATTCCATTGATATTCAGTTGCAGGACACTTGCACATTTGCAAATCTCTGAAATGAAAGAACATTCACCCCTAAGTGACATCAATATTTGACATTATCAGCATATGATGATAATATATGATGATATTTACAAGATAATATATCTTAAACATAATTTAAGAGGTTGCATTAAATATTGTGCTTAATAATGTTTGACAATAATAACACTGCATTTGCCATTGTGATCATTAAAATAATCAATAATCAATAATACCTCCAGAATACCTTAAAGTCTCTACCATGAAGTTTACTATTGCGATTTTGCAGTATTTGATCACAATCAACATCAAAGCACTTTATTAATATGAATTGCATTCAGTCAATGTTTTTCAAGATGCATGCATGGAGCTTAGTTTTGGAATTTCCCCAAATGTTAGTGGTGTACAGTTACAGGACACTGGCACATCTTATATTCCTGTAATGAAATTAATTATCCATACAAGTTAATTTGCCCTTCATATAACTCCCTAAATGGACATGAAAACAGTTGGCAACTTGTTTGAGATCAGGCCCAAAATAATTTCCACACAAGGAAAAATGAACCTTGTCCAGCTGCTTCATAGGAGGTGTCATGTATTAAAGAGGCATGATACCAGTCCTGGCAAATCTTGAGGGCTTATATCTATTAGAGCATTTTTGAGTCAGAGTAGCAGACCACAATAAACATACTTGAAAGTAGAAAAACTTAATACATTTCAGATAGTATTTCAAGAGTTTTCTCAACTTTCTTCTTAACTTGCCTCTTAGAGCACATAGTGATTTGAGCAGATGGTTTGAGTTCTTAAAGTGCCCAAGTAACCAACGCTAGTCTTTTTCATTACTCTTTTTAGTTTTTTTCTTTGCTGCAGATGATCAGATGATACTGATTTGACATTCAAAATTCAAAATTGATATTCTTATAAATCTAAGAATGGGTATACTGTATGTCTTGCTGTAAGTGTGTGTGTGTGTGTGTGTGTGTGTATGTGTGTGTGGCAGGGCAACTATCCCACAGGCTTTGTCTCTCACCTCAGAATTAGATCCTATTTGTAGCGGTTGTTGCCCAGGAGGGGTTGGGGGCTAAACTTAACTCTGCAAATATTGTTTTTACTTTGTGGCAAAGAACAATATTCACAGCTCCAATGCTTCACCTTGTGTCAACTAACAATAACATATTCTGATTTGCCAGTGAACCCAGTCCCGGCGCAGACCCACAGCATGTTTTGCACACTGTGAAAGACAGGCACGTAGAGAGGGCCGTTAAAGAGATACACATGAAAAACCTTCATGGAAATTTTGGCACTCTAATGGCCCACCAAATTCTCCTGGTGCTTCTGATGGCCAGTCCAACTATGACAGATGGGTCTGTTTCTGGGTTGTGCCAATGTACAATGATATTGGTGATCGATGATCATTAGACCAATCACCGATTGCTCATGCCTTTGCAAATGTCAAGACAATATTTGACTTGTTTTCCCATCAATGTAGTAACTTATTATTTTTAGTATTTAATTCATACTAAATTTAATTTGCCCTGCCACAGATTCACACGATTAACCGCATATAACTGATGCTTGCAACATGCTCGCACACACAATCTCCGATCAGCTGATTGTAATCAAGCGCTGCTTGTTGTGTGTAGGTGATGCATTGTGATTAAAGAGTGGAGGAGATCGACAGAGAGACAGTCTGTCTTATCCTGCTACTTTTTATGGTGGTAAATAGAACTTTTGGACAGTCAATGAGAGAAAGAGGGGAACAAAACGGGACACACTCACTTTTTGGTCACTCCTCTTTTGCTCTCGCTCATAGGGTAACGTAACGTGTCATCCTTTTATTTGTCATTTACTCATGATGAAACTGTTAATAAAGTATGCCATAACCATGGGAGGGGGGGCATAGGTGACGACTCCATATACACATAAAAAGCTTTAATTTAGAAATTAATGAATTAAAAATAAAAGTTTTTTATAAAGATCTGCTCTTCCTGTGATTAAGACAGCAGGGGAGCGCAGTTGGTTGTTGACCAGCGAAGAGAAATGCGCTTCTGGTGTTTCAACTTCACCCATTCTTATCACCCTGGCTCCAGGAACATTAAACCAAATGCCCTCTCCCACCAGTTTGAGCCAGGCGACTCCCCCAGGGCTACCACAACCATCCTGCTCTGACCTATGTGATTGGAACTGTGACTTGGGGCATCAAGAGTGTGGTCAGACAGGCGTTAGAGGTGGTGTAGACCCCCAGCGGGCGTCCTCCTGACCACCTCTTTGTCACAACAACTCCTTGCTCACGGGGGTTGGAATTGGGGCACTCCACCAATCTCAGTTGCCATCCGGGGACCATGCATTGGACCATCAGTCTCCTCAAACAGTTTCTGGTGGCCTTCTCTGGAAGAGGCCACTGGTAAATTATTCTCCACCTCTCCTGTTTGTGCCTATAACAAAACTTCCCATCAACGTCTTGCTCCACCCTCTTCCAATGCGGCAGCGTGCTTGGTCCATCCGTACATCTGCCTCAACTTTGTCACTATATTGTCCTTCTCCAACGGTAACAGTTAGTCTCTCTATTATCCACCATTTTTCCTAAATGGCACACTAACCCTCTACCTGAACTCCACGCTCTTGCATGTTTCGGCCACGGGTCTATCCCCTTTCCAGTGTGTTTACGGGTAACAACCACCACTCTTCCCCAAACAAGAGAGTGCCATCCACTCAGGTGTTGGTTCACTTATGCCAACTCACATGAAGAAAAGCCTTGCCTGCTCTACTCTGTACATGACCTTCCACATCTCCAAGATTGAGCCTTTCAAGACAAGTCCACTGGTTCCTTTCTCCAGTCTGCCCCTTGATCAACCCTGTATATATACTTTTTCCCTTTTCCCTTGCCAGATTGTCTTTCATCCTAATGTGTTTCCTCTGCCTGGTAATGTTTGCTTGAATTGGACTGACTATCTGTGTATGACTACCTGGTTATTCAGTGAAGACTTTGCCTTTCTGAACTTTTTGATGTCTCCCAAGTGTTTTTCTGCTTCTGATTTCCTAAAAAATCCAGAAATTGTACATTTCTGCTCCAAGATTCCAAGTCAAGTCAATATCTTACAGGAGACATAGTGCAAAGACTTGGCAATCTATATCTATTTGTTGCCTGTGACTTTCCAAATAGAGCATTGCACTGATGCAGGGCAGGTCTGAGTCTGCCTAAGCAGAAGCTGATTCATTTAGAGAGAAAAAACAAAATTTTCTATTGCATGTTTGGAACTTAAAATAAGAATTCCATTATTCTGCATGCAGTATAGTTGAGGACAAATGTAATAGTCTCCCAACAGAGGAAGAATAATGGTGACCATATAATATCTGTATGAGTGTCTGAACCAAGCTATCTGCAGATACGTTCATGTCATTTTGGCTAGTACTAGACAATGAGTGAGAAGGCAAGGTTCATTTCAGCTCTTGTGTGGACATTTATTGTGTTGGTGGATTGTGCAGCATTACCAGTATCTGCGTCATCCTTCCAGATCCATTTTCATTTCTACTTGACTGACTTGCTTTATCCCATCCTTTTTTCTTTCTCAACCATGTCAATGTAGGAACCAAGCTTTAAAAATGAGAACCAACTTAACAAAGGCAAAACAATCTCTCAAGATATTATTCTTGCACAATACTGCAAATCAACTTGTATGCTTAATACATCCAAAACATTTTTGTCCACTTTGTGCAGCTTTAAACTTTTGCTTCACTATATTCCAAGATTTTTTGTAGTGCTTCAAACTGCACTATACCAGAAGACATTACAG